CAATGAATTACTACTCGGTATATTAAAAGTAAAACTACAACTTACTAGATTTTTAAACTTTTAATTGAAAATTGAAAATTAATCTTAGTGTATGTAAAAAAAAAAATATGTGAACAATAAATAAAATAAAACAATTATTTACCTCTGTGGCTCTGTTTTCCAAATATCAATACCAAGTATACTATTATTTGCTGTAAGTGTAAACATAATATTGATAGTATAATTGTTATAATATATGAAATCTTTTCTCGGAAATAAAGTCACATCAATATTGTAATATATTAGTTGTACTAAAATAATYACAGAGACGTCTAAAAAATATAATACAATAATCATATAAACCAGGAAAACCATATATTTATAAATATTTACTTTAGTATACTTGGATAGTTAGATATAACCATAGAATAATATTATAATAGAAGCGACAGTCAAGCAGCTGATTGATTTGTTTTCATTTTGCCGGAGGTTCGGCATGAAGTTKGCAGTGGAGGCTCGGCATGATGACGTTGTAACCGTATTGTAATTTAAAATCTGTAGCATGTCCCGACTGTTATCACTTTTTTCTGTGATATTGATAATTTAAATTTTTAAAAATAATTTTTAATTATTAAGCAATAAATTAAGCATTGCGATACGGTTACAACACCATACCGGCCATCTGCTGCCAAAATCATGCCGAGCCTCCAGCTTAAGGTCAACACTTCAACAGAAATATTTTTCGGTGATCAATGGGATTTTGATAGCTGTCGCTTCTATTATATTTGATGATATAACAAATGAATTTTATTATATATTCATCAGTCCTCACCAAAGAACAGAATCTAAAATGCAAGTATGCTATACGATAGCCATATAGGTACGATCATATCGTGATCAAATGCGAAAAATACTTAAGCACCGAAAAATCTTAATTTATTAACTTCATTGCAACATGCATTCCACGAAACTTAAGAGGACTACACTACACCAGCCATGTGTTCTCTCCGTCTTACAAGTGCGTACCCATTAGTTAATAACTTAAATACATTAACGCTTCCTAATAATCCTCAACGATACCTGAAAATAAGATGATGAAAATATCTATTACAATAAAAATTCACATAACCTCTTATCTCTCCTAATCTCTTGTATATCAACATTTACAATCACCCCTCATGCTAAGAGGTCACTAGTGCGGGTGACTTCTTAATCACGTCTACTATGTAATTTTTAAGTCACTTATCACATATACCTATTGTGCTACTAAGTATAGATTGTATATTTCTTATAAAAAGAATTTAAAAAAGGATTAAAATATAATAAAAAGCCTATGATAAGCCACCCTAGATAATATGTTACTTTTAATTTTTGTGCGAGGTYAATTTACTCACTTTTAAACTAACAGATCTAAAAATAATAAGAGGACTCTACACTCGTATGTGTTATCTTCGTCTAACAAATATATAACATAGCAAAAACTGTTTAGCACGGAAAAATCAGAGAAGGCTACAGACATAACTAAGAAACAAATCCCCACCTCATAAAATAAAGAATTTTGACTCTGAAATATCGTTTTTAATTWTCAATATCGGAGCTACAAAAAAAGTAATTCAAGTTTTAAAAACACAAAATTAATGAATTTTGAAACAAAAAGAACCTTTTTCATATTAGTGATATCAACAAAATTAAAACGATATTTCACAGATGTTCTCAACTACTTATTTTGTACATCTATTTAGTTCATTACAGCCCGAATGGTTATTTCCYGCGCAAAACAGTCTTTGGGATGATGTACATATTTTGTTAGACGGAGATGACATAATATGCTGATGTAGCGTCCTCATAGTCTATTGTCTATATAGATATTTCAACAAATAACATTATACGGGTAGGTAGGTAAAAATAATATTCATTCATAATTATATTTCAGTCATTCTGAATGATTATTTTTTAAATGATAAAGTAAAAAAATCAATTTAAATGTGTAAATAAGATATAAATTGAAAAAAAAAACGAATTTTCATATCATGGCCATTATATTATTATTCTGTTATGCACATTAGACATTTCGTATTTAGTGTATTTCCCGAGTAAATAAATTGTACAAAATTGTAGTTTCTCTCTGCGCTAATATAGCATACCTACCAAATATTATATATACATCATATACTTCATTCGTCCCAACACTTGAAACAGAATTATGGTCTATTAATAAACTTATATTGGTACTTACCGTTTTTGAATCTGCCGGGTGGTGCTGACGACCGAACGAACGACGAATGATGGTATTACAGTTATAAGTACCTATTAATGTAATATTTTTATATACTATATTATATTTTATACTATATTTTTAATATATTTTATTTTAAGGGTGCATTAAAACATGTGGACAATTCCTACACTCGTCGACAACATTGTTGCGAATCAGAATTTTATTCAGAATGTAACGAAATCGCGAAGTATAGGTATAGCTACAGGAAACAAATTTCTTTGGTCGTGTCCGAAACCGCGATTTGATTCCACCACAATGATAAAAAATAGCAATACAAACCGATAACCCGTGCGCCGTGATTGCCGTTATCGGAGACTTGTAAATCTCTCAGTGAAAACGTGTTGAACCTTGAACGAAGCTCAGCAAAGATTACCACCATTGCATCTCGCAGTTGGAAAGTGCGGTTCGAGAACTCGCAAACCAAATAACCGGCGCGCAGGCGATCCCGCGACTGCCGGCTGCT